CTCAGTTTTCKGTGGCTTCTTGAGGCAACTTTTCGTTGTTTTCCTTTCTTCTATTATTTAATTACGCTCTAGTTCTGAGACAGAAAGCTAGWGAGAGGTCCTGAGGGATCCTTACTGATGTGATTGCCAGTTCACGTTTTATTCAGCTCACTCTTTAAAAARTATCAAGCAGATGATTTAAAAAACACGTCGGTTAGTCTAACATATTGTTTGAAATTAAAGTATCATTGCAAAATGTCTCAAATCCAATTAACTACTTGAACCTATACCTAGGACTTTGGATGCATGAACTCCATCACTGTATTAAACAAAAACTGACTGAGAATTTCAGTTCTTCAAGATAAACCTCAGAGAAAGATTAAATTGTAGACTACAAACTATAAATATACATCKAATGCTTAGATCTGAAAAGCAGAGCCTTAAGCTCAGTGGCTTAAACAGCACAGTACAAAGGACACCCTGCTTTTTTATTTAGACTTAATGTTTAAGAAATAGCCTTGCTTGTGTGGACCAGTGGAGTCTATTTCTCATGACAGCTGTTTGAGTTGTTACCGCTTTGACTTGTAGCTGGTTTGCTGCTGATCTATATTAAATGGCTTAACTGCATTAAAGTAGGCTTCTGTATAAGTCTGCATTCCCACCTGGGGACCTGCCTTCCTGAATATTCATATTCTTATAATCAGTAACATTGAAAAACTTAATATTCATAATTTAGTTTCCTCCTAGAAATGGAGACRGAAAAAGCTGTCCCTGAACTTCCCGCACAGAACACAGTTAATTCATGGAGGAATTAGCATTTGGAAAAAAACAGAGAACCACATGAGGAGAAAGAAAATCATATAAATCAGATATTTAAAAATGAGTATAAAGCTGCTTAACTCTTTTCTTGCTATCTACTAATCTGTTAATATTTTCCACAAAGTGAAGCTGTATAATGTGCATCTGCAATCTGTCTTACTTTAACTGTGGTTCCAGAGGAAAATATTTTCTGTCTCTGCTCACAAAAGCTGGTGGGATCCCTCAGGAGAAGGCCACAGCATCCCATGGCCACGGCTCTGAACCTGGGCAGCGGGAGAAACAGACCCTTGTTGGACTTGCTTGCTCTCAGCAATTGGAGAACAGGCAATACCAAGAATAAAATGAAGTACGAAAATAATCTTAGTAGAAAAATGTACTCAACGGAGTTGAAGCTCCACATAAAGCTGAACTGCCTTCTGTAAGAGGGACAACTAGGTGCAATTGATAAATGACCTAAGGAAATTAAACATTATTAATTATRAGCTAGATATGAGTAAAGATATATAGTCATTATAAAGATATGCATTTAWTAATGACATACATTGCATTGGATAAGGTACATGCATCTGCTGAATAATGTTAAAATATTAGAAAACTTAAAAAAGGTTGATGGTAGCATCAATATTGTTGAACTGGATATAAAAAGAAAATTATTACCATGAGGCTCATAAATGACATGTAATAAAAATCTACCGTTATAATGCAGACAAAAAAGAAACATTTGGAAAATGAGCATGACAAACATGAACACATAAAAACTATAGTCTATGTTCTAATCTTCTAGAACAATATTAAGTGTGAATTACACTATACTAGTATATCAGTTGCCTATTATTTAAAACTTTGAAATAGAGTAAGTTTACTTACAGTATTTGTAAGTTAGGAGGTCATTTTGAAAGAGCAATGTAGAGTAGCAAATATCTAATTTGTCTAAAATCATTATTTGTTCTTTTGACAAATAATTGTAGACCAAGTTCTCTCTTCATTTTCTTTTTTTTTTTTTCGGGGGGAGGAAAACAACAACAAAAAAGTAAATCCTGTGCATGTCTTCTCCTGAAGAAAGGACAACTTTACACTTATAGGCTGCATCTCTCGGAAGCTAGCACTGCTTATCAGAATTGTTCTAAATATATCCTCCGGATTTGCATGGAAACAGCAGCCCACCAAAGGGAAATGCCATGGATTTGCCAGGACAAATTCAATGTTATTGTCTACCTCCTGTTATTGTCTACCTCCTGTTAAGGCACYTAAACTTACCTCAGGTTTTAAGGCKAAGCTACATCAGCTCCTGGAATGTGGTGACTACCCTGGAGAGCCTGGAGAGGAGGTGCCCCTTGTCTGCTCCCTTGTCTTCTCCTAAGGGAGAAGATGGGCTCCAAAACCTGTCTCAGGTGACAACAAAATACAGAGTAGATAACACTTTGCAGGGTGCTCTCGGGTTGCATGCATGTCCCAGATCTTTAAACTGTCTTTAAAATAGCTTTGTAATTCTCGCTTTTCAAAAAAATAAAAAAATAAAATAAATAAAGCAGAGGGAGAGTAAAACAAATTTTCAAGCCATATCAGCAGCACCAACATGAACACGGCAGACGTCACGGTCTTCTGATCTACACGGAAACAACAGCTATACTGAAATTATAAAGTATAAACACAAATATAAAATTATTATGACATTTAGTTTGGAATAGACTTTATATAACTTAAGTCAGCATTTTTTTCTAAAAGCAGCATGCAAGATATAATTTTGACATTGTTTTCCTTTGTGTTTGCTTCATTATTTATCTAATATACAGTTATAAATGGAAACATTCCAGATTTCCTTCGTCAAGTACTACTTCTGATAAGACAAGTTAATGCCTGTAAACATCATTCTAGAAACTCACTGGAAAAAAGAAAAAAAAGCACAAATCACAGATACAATCACAAAACAGCCGAAAAGAACAAATGAGATGTAAACTGCCCTCTTTCAAACATAAAAAGATGTTATTTTTATTTTCTTCATTGTAAAGTAACATATTTCAACCAGATTACAACAAAATTAACCACAGGATATTAAAAAAACCCAAGTATTTAGAAAATTATATATAGACACTTGCTTAAAAATTCTATAATGTAAACAGGAGCATAACAAGTTAAAATAATATTACATATAGTTTGTTAATACTTCAGTGAACACTGTGCATATGTGTGCTTTAGAATTGACACTATCTTTCTTAAAGTTGTTTAACAAGAAAAAAAAACTCCAAAAATCTAAAGGAAATTCGGCTTCTTCAGTTTCCATCAAGTTTGGTCCCACATAAAAAATACAAATTATTTCCCTATTACTAAGAAAAGAAAATGCAGCCTTTCAGAAATAGATTTTCAACCACATTTGCTTTCCCATATAAATACGTTTTAGTTTCTTAAATAATTCACTAGCCTGCTGAAGAGACCAGCCACCACAGCTTAGCTTCTGCTGACAGGGACTCCCGCTTGAAAACGTGTTAAACAAATGGATTCCTCCTCCATGGAAGTGCAGGACRTTTGTTTAGGCAACAAAGATCTTCTTTTCAGTCCTGTTATTGCAGCAGTTTGTAAATTTGGACAATTCATTCCTCTCTAAACACCCAAGTTAGATGTAACGGGACCATAAAAGTACAGTTAGTGCAGAATAAGAAATAACATTTCCAGTGTCAGAGCACTGTGTTGAGCAAGTGTTTTGTTTTTCACGGAGTATGTGAAATACAGAGCAGGKTTAACTCATATTTTAAAATGTTATCTAATAGGCTTCATTTCATAAATGAAAATGATTCTTTCAAATACACGATGCTAAGAAACTCCTGAAATGGCTACATATTCATCAAATTAATATTCCCCGATGGGATAGAAAGTGTTGACTTCAATATCCCAACAAAAGAAAATGTGAGGAGACAAATTCCTTACTTTTTTGAGTTTTTTAATCATATTTCCAGAGGTGAGCTTAAGCTCAACAGAAAAATATTCCTGTTTTCAAGGGAGAGGTGTTTCAAGGTGCTTTCACGTTAACCGTGGCCTCTTTTCCCGTGTACCTGGATTTACCAGCCAGAGAGCACAGTGCTGCTCCCAGCATTTGCGAGGCGGCTCCAGGAGCAAACTCTTGCCAAGAGGTGTTCATTTTTCTTTGAAACTGTGGTTCCACGGGGTTTTCATGTTGTTCTCAAGCAGATAACTCTATTTRAATCCACAGCCAGACTGTCTGTCCTCAGTTACAGGGTATAGATCGGGTGGGTTTTCTTCAAACCTTTGAAATAACACCAGTCTGGAGCAGCACTGAGAGCTCCCTCCTTGCTCCGAGCCAAGTAAAAGGAATGCCATGCAGATGAGCCAGTACTAATAACTAATACTGAGAACAACCTATCACTTCTTAAATAACTAATCTGTGCTGACAGGCAGCACCGGGAGTTCACACGGGGCGCACTGAGGCTCATCCATTATTAGCTTGCTGCTCTGAGTCAGTCCCCCTCATTTGTTAGTAGCTTCTTGTTAATGAGTTTGACAGCTACAATGCAGATATTGCTCTGTATAATAAAACATGATTTTGTAACACAAGTGCACCTTAACGGATAGGGCACAATTTTGAGCCAGTGATCATTTAATACCATTATGGCCTCGCACTAAATACTCACTTATTAACCCAATCACACTGGCTTATGACTTCCAGTAGAATTTGTAAGATGATATAATTTGTTTACAACTATCACGCCAACAATATATTCCCTAAAACAGGACTGTTTTTGAAAGTATTAATCTTCCTAAGAGTATGTGATTTAATGCACATAAGAATTTAAGCCTCTATTACTATGCTATTATGCCGTCTCATAGAAACCTTGGAAATTTATAATTACTGAGAAATTTAATGTGATACAAAAGCTAAGTCAATGCAATGCGTTCTCTGTAATGAACAGCGGCATCGCTAATCGAGATTCTGAGAAACCATAATCAATATTTAATAAATTAATCACAGAAATCACATCTGCAAAACATGCAAGACATTTTCCTGCTTTTTGTTTCTTAGGAAATTGTTCTGTTTTCATACAATAGGAGACCAGCATTAAAATAAAAAGTAATGCTATTTATATTTACCAATTGATTTGAATAAATGCTCTAGGTGGAATGAGCATCCCTAGAGATTTGAAATGCCTACAGGTAAAACAGAAAGGAAGTAACAGCATGGATATACCCACAGAGCCTCACACTGCGCTGTAGTCCTAAGCCTGAAGAACGACTCAGGTGATGAARTGGGCCCGAGTCCTCTATTCTGTGGTTATAGTGATGTTCAAAGCACCATAAAGAACTGGCTGAATTCTTCARCTTATTGTGTTGAGCAGATATCTGATATGAGCTAAATGTTAGTACCAAACTAGGTAAGGTTTGTACAAAAATCATAGCTACGGACATGAGATTAAATGATACAGAAGAGAAACTGATATAATCAGTCAGTTGATGGAACCACTACTACACTTACAAGTATTTTATACGAAAAAAATGCAAGTATATTGGGGTTCTTGGAGTAGTTTCTTTAAAATCCTTCCTGATTTTGACAGTCAAATAAAAGAAGTGCTATTTGAAAAAGTATTCATAATTCTCTGAAATACTGGGCATTTTAGAAGGTATTGAACATTCAAAATACTAGGCATCTACTTGCTTTCACAGAAGAATCTCATTGATCTTCCAAAGTAACTAGGTGAACAAAGCGAGAAAAGTCTGGCCTTTCATCACTAGGTTTTAAAGGACGCACAAGYAAGCAGGGAAGGGGACTCGCAGAGTTCTCCCTGCAGTATCTTGTACCACAAGGTGCACACTGTTTGCAGACTGCAGTCAGAGCAGTTTATATACAACTCAGGTAAAGGTAGCAAAAAACAACCTGTATACAATAAACAAGTTCAGTATTTTCGTGTCATCTATATACACATATTAAAAATTACAAGAGTCAAAATGATCATGAATGAAATAATTTTAAGATTCAAATAAGGAGATGAGAAAAATTCTTTCTAAACAACCTTATAAAAAGAACAAGTTTAAATTTAGTCTACACATGCTAAATTAGCTTTCTTACCAATTTTCAACTTTCTGAATACAGATGAGTACTTTAACTTGTGAGCTATTTCCTGAATATTAACGCAGCTTCACGTGGCAAACTGATGAATCACGAAGGATTGCACAGCTCCTTCTTTCAGACTCACTTGCAATTCAGTGTTAAAAGACGTGTTATTTTTCTGCTGGCCAAGTCTCTCAGCCATGGTGAGACGTAACTTGAGAATCTTTTCAAAAGCACAGATAGGCTTCACCTGCAAGCTGCAAGCTCTCTCTCCTCCCCCAGATAAACGTCCTCTACRCAAGCCTCTAGCAGTAACTCATCCTTTGGCACAAACCACAGCAGCTGGCTCCCACGTTCCCGTGCRGATTCCTTGCTCCCCTTTGCCACGTCCTGCTGTGGAGTGCAATACATACGCCTCGCTTTTTAGTGTTAGGAACACAAGATTTGTGGCTCAGACTTGCGTGTGAGCCCAGGAACACGACTCACTTGGCGGGCCGCATCTGTCCYCGCTTGAGGGAGCCGCTTCCTGAGCAGGCGATTCGGGAGCGCGCCGCAGGCTTGCGGAGCGGCAGCTCCGGCTGKGGGAACTTCAATAAAGCACGGAGATACAAAGTGCGTTACTAATAATGAGCTTGTTKTTCTGCAGGGAAGTATTAGAACTTCAGTATCTATCGATGTGAGAATTTAATATAACAAATGGACAATAAAATGACAAGATACACCAATTTAAGTCAGATTATCCAAAGAACTTCTGCAAAGAAAGATGTTCTTGCACAAAGAAAAAACAGAATACATTTGATAGAAAATTTGAATGTACATTGCTTAAACTTAATAAAGAAAAGAAGATAGCTAATATATAATTAACTGCCTACGGCAGTGCAACTAATGGRTACTGAACTGGATTCCAGTTAATCCATGTCAGAACTTCCATCACTTAATAATAACTCTGGCTAATTTTTTTAGTTACTCACAATAGTACCATTACAAATTACTTTTCAGTAAGTGGTGATGGGTAACAGGCACTTCCATTTCAGGTGATCTTGAAGTAATACCATGGGAGCGGTTTATGAAATAGGAATTCCAAGCTGCCCTTTTAGGATGGGGACTGTTTTGTAATGCCAGCAACAAATCAATGGCAATATATAACTCAAGATGTGAAAATGCTATTTTGTACTGTTAACTTTGTGAATCCCGGTGGCAATCCATAGAAACAAATAATATTGCACCCAGCCTTACTTCAGCAAGGCTGAAACATCACAAAAAAWTATTACATTCTCTGAGATTTTATAGAATTACTTTCCACAAATGAAAGCTATTGGGAATATCTAACTACGAACATACAAAAGCTCTTTTTGCCACCAGTACTGCTTTTTCCCTTGTCATTTACTTTGTCAAGTTTATTTACAAACTTTTGCGTGTATCAGAGGTTTACAACTAAAAAAAAAGSAAAAAAAATCACGTCTTTTTCTATTTACAAAAGGTAATAAATTAGTGAGGTTCTTTTAAGCACATATTTCTGACATATTAAGTAGTGATAATCATAGCTGTTCTTCTAAAGAAAAAATTATCTTGACATGATGCCCATGTCTCTAGAGTAGAAAAAATTAAATGTAGAAGGGGAGACACTACAACACAAACAAGGAATTCAGAGAGCAGAACAACTCGAGAAGAGCAAGGCAAGCGCGCACGTGCGACGCAGCCGGCCGAAACACGGGAAACGCTGTCAGTGCTGGCTCGAGCCCAGGGCCTACCCACTGTTTTGAGAAAKCTGTTACCACCTCCCGAAGCATTTAACCAGGAGACAACCCCCAGCAACGAGCGTATTTTCTCAGGACTTCAAAGGATGCAGCTGGAGTCTCTCCGGGAGCTTCTGGCACGGCCTAGGTCTCCGAGGCAGGCGCCGTCGGCGGTGCCGTGTTCCCGGGCCCCACGCCGGCGGTGCCGTGCCCAGCGTCACAGATCTCCGCTCTGCGGCTCCAGGCTCCGGGGCTCTCTCGGGTGGCCACGGGACAGCTTGGGGAAGCGCGTGGCCACTCTCGGGCGGCTGCTTTTGCTCACGGGCTCTCCGGAAGGTTGGATATCACTAGGAAAAACAGAAACAGAGCTGGAAATGGCTAGTGCACATCACGTGCCGAGTTGTTCTGGGGCTGTTCGCATATGAAAAAGCAGATGTTATGGGAGCCTGGCACGCGACCGCAGGGTGCAGCACGTCTGCAACCACACATAAGGGTGCTCCTGCTGCTGCCACCACCGGGGCCAGTTACAAACGGGCTCTTCCGAAGACGAGCACTAGCAGTGTGGTGGGGACTTAATGGAAGACCGCAAATCACGAGATAAAAGCGTATCTCGATGGGCTGGAGTTCAGAAATGGTGGATAAGCATTTTGAAGTGATAGGAGTACAAGCAAAATAGACACGAGCTCGGATGATGCTCTACTTAACAATCCTCTAATTATGGATGGATGTATCATTGCATGATGAAGTACATTAGTAATACATCCCTGGTGGGAATCCTTCAGTCCCTGCGGCCCACAACAGACTAGCTGTACATGAACGAGCCATTTGGCAAAGGCCCAGAGAAGAAGTAYATTAAATTCAACAACAAGCAGTAACAGAAAATTGCAGCTTACCTAGGTGACATTCAGAGGCTATAGACTCCTCGGGAAACTACAGTATAAAGGGATASTGTTGTACTTTTTCCATTCTTGCAGAGGATTCTGCATAGTTTTAAACTGCTTACATACAGATTAATAAATATAACTAAACTTTGCATTTTGCAGCTCAGCAAGGCAGTAACAAGATTACACAGCATACAAAGTCAGGCTTACTTTTATATGTAGAGAAACTTAGGAGTCCTATCTCCAGAGTGGGTTAACAAGTCAATGAGAGATGCCCATCTGCAGTGCTCGCCACATTAAATAAATACAGATATATTTGAAAACAAGTAATTAATTTACTCCCCATAGTTCTCTTTTTCCCCTGCAGTGACTTTCTGCRCCGCTCAGGGTCCCATCCAAGGCCCCAGCAAACCCAGGTCTGTTCCAGAGTGGGTTGAGCACCCACCCAGGAGACATGGGCAAAGCCCGGGCCTTTTCCAAGGGGAAAATTCCCTTTGAGGAATCAGGGAAGCGCTGCAAGGCACGGCAGCTGTATCACTGGTAACCATTCGCTCTGTAATTTCAGTGTGCACGCTTACTGTTACTCACTAAAATAAAAGAAATCCAGGACAGAGAAAAATGCATGCCCAATTCAAATGTTAAATGTTACCAGAAAATATTTTTAATGGCAACGTATATTACTGAATAGCCCAAAGAAACCTTAATTTAGAAAAAGCCTCTAATTTCACTGCATTTCCTAGGTAAGCAGCAAGTCTTTTTGTGACAAAATTGCACAGAATATCTGTGATACACATCTTCCTCTTGTAGCGCTACAAGATTTACAAATTGGAGTTTTATCTCTTCATTTGCCTGTCAATAAAATCAAAACAGTAAAAACTAATATAGCGTGTTATTAATTCTTGGTAGCCAAAGACATTAGACTCTCATCGTAACCACTCTGCTCCCAGGAATTTCTGTTTGGAAACCCACCCCTTTCTCCGGCTTGCCTCGGGTGCTCTCCCAGCTCTGGGATGGGGCAGCCGGTCGCTGCCAGGTGCACAGCAGTCCGTGCTGTAGGTTCATGCCGCCAAAGTGCAGCGTTAGGCGCAGTCCTAACAACTTGGGACGGCTTTAGTGAGAGCCCATTTTTATACACAAGCTCCTCCTGCTGGCACGTCCAAGAAAGGACACTAGTGCCAGCCCAACGCGCAGTGACTTCTCGCTTCTGGAGGGGAAATTCCTTGAAAGGAGAAAGGCACAAAACGCGCAACACGAATTCTCTTAAATGAAGAGACAGGCATCAATATAAGTCTGTTTTGACAGAAATAGGAGCTAATAAGGTGGTTTTCGGATGGTTACGTGAGCACCAATATGYGTGAATGAAGGACAAAAAAATCTAAGTGTTCTGATTTACAGGATGGTGCTACAAAACCACAGATATCTAATAAATAAAACTTAAATGTCTAATTTCATTTTTTCAATATTCCAAATTTAAAGAAAAATCACTGTGTAACATACGTTTACAGAAAGCAACTTCAAACACAGGAATTAGATTGTCATTCATGCAGCACGAAGAAGGAACCAGTAGGTTCTGGCCAACTGCATTCAGCTGCCCAGATCCACCTCAGCTGAACCAGATGTATGGGGAAGAAAAGCACAGATCACCAAAAAAGCCACACACTAAAAATATCCATCATAAGCCCCTTTCCTTTCCTCACTCCAAAAACTCATGAGAAAACCTGCCAGCCCAACGTGCCTATCTGAGCCACAGCTTTCTGCTGGACTGCAAAAACACTGATTTTCAAGTAACAGCCAGAAAGTTTTACTGATTTTTTTTTTTTGGGGGGGGAAAAAATCCATCAAAAAAACCCACAATCCCCAAACTCATGTTAATAAAGAAGGAGGAAAAGAATCTCCCTGCTGTTGCCTCTCCTGGATTTAATGATTTAGTTCTGGAGTAGAGGCCCATCTATACTTAGAATAGCTGGCATTAAATGAGACGCCTTTCCAAACCAATTTACCCTTCAGCAGGTCAGCTAATCCACAGACTTCTAGGCAAAAGTATGAACCGCTTAAAATGGTCTTTTCTGGCAAATGCACATGAGGAGGAAATGGGAAGACTTGTTCCGAATCTATTTTTGCCAGCCTGGGTTGCAGACCTACGCGCAATGTTTGCAAATCCACTTCCTYGTCTGGCTCCGTCACCGGAAAGGCTTCCAGACACCTTTTGGGCAAGGGTTACAGCTCACATACAGTTGATAGCTCACGTCGATTAAAATACACATTTAAAATATGTAAATCTAATCCAGGGAATGACATTCTTACAYCAGGAGCCCAGCTAGTTGCCCAGGAATAGCTCTGCCAGAGCCGGTATCCCAAGTCCCAGTGCCAAAAGCTTCCTCCTTGAGCCCGCATCTCCCGGAGCTGCACGCCTTTCCCGTTAACACCGTGCTCTCTCTTCCACTCCGCGGCCTCCGCAGCCACTTCGTGGCGCTCGTTTCTGGAGGAAGGGGACGCTTGCCAGGGGTCAGCCTGTCCAGGAGAACGTTGCCTTCTCCTGCTCCTGCGGCCCCACGCGGGCCATCAACGCCGCCTGCCCGCCAGGGCACCGCTCCGCTTTCRGCCTTCCCACGGACCTGCCCCGCCGCTGTCTGCAATCCAATTCACTTCCATCGATCTTGTCTTGGTGTCAGGCTCTGCCCGAGGTGCATCCATGGAGAGGAGCTCGCAGGAGCTGTTCTTTTTCATCAGCTTCCAGTTTATTCATACCTCTGAGTTGATTCGTTGGCTTTCCCTGCAGCAGACTGTAAACCCTGCTCTCTGTGCTGCTTTTTGCATAGATAACAGTTGCAGCTGCAGTATTTCCTTACTCAAGGTCACAAACATTTACAGAGAGAAACTTCTTTCCCATCTCATCCAGCCAACTCTTCAGGAAAAAAAATTGGAGAGAGAAGGGTTTTTTCCGTAAAAACTAAACAATTTGACTGTAACTGGAAGAACTTTTGTASCAGTCTGAGATACAGCAATGGGAGTGCTAAGCACACACCGAGGGAACAGCAAAGCTCAGGATCAGGTTTCTCAYAGATACCCACTCAGTACATCTCTGGAGATGGTCCTGATTTAAGCTTTAATTACAAAATATTTTTCACATTGAAAATGGCTTAGGAAGAAAAGCATTAGCTGAGCAATGAACTTGACGGCTTCTTTTTTCATCAGGTTTTGCTGTCATGCTTTTCTTTGTCACAATATTCATCTGATTTCCAGCTATAACGCCAATATTTAATATGGAAAACTTCACTCAGGCATCCTCCTCAAAAAAGGTAATATCAAACCGTGTCTATATGATAAAGATTATTATAAGACAAGTGCAAACGAATTCTGCATTGTCACCACTACATTTCCCAACATCTCTGCTCACTGGGCTCAGCAGTGATCCCTGCTCAGTGCAGATGAGCCCTCTACAGTAAAACAGACAGATGCTGAATCTCCTGAAGATGTTCACGTAGAACAGGTCAAAATCTGGACCTTTGTGCTTCCTATCAAGACTAGATCTGACCACACAATGAAAATTCATTCGTTCTAATATTCCAGCCAACTGTTTAACTAATACACAGCTCTTTCTACTGCAAAATAGACATTTCCACAATAGAGCAGAGTATTCATAATAAAAATGCATTCAGTCTCTTTTTGCTGTGAAATAATTACAAACATGTGCTTAAATTTGCTTTAATCTGACTGATCCCAACTTGAACATCCTTGTTTTACCATAATCATCATCTGCACCGATATTTGAGTAATTCTGTAAGCCAAGACACCTCACCTAATTCTGGTGTTCTGTTTTTTTTCTTATGCTGACTTCACTTTGAAGTTGGTGAAACATCAGGATTACTGTACAGGGACCAGTCAGTATCCACTACTAGTGATTAATTTGGGGTTGAATGTGCTCTGATCCTGGGCTTTCCAGTGCCTACTAAGTGCATTCAGAAACAGTTATCTTCATTTTTTTTTGTGTAATGTAACACATAATTAACTAGAAAGCCAAAAAAAAGAACATATATATATATATGTGTATATATAACATTTTGCCACGAAACACCATTTATTTATATTTGTTATGACTATGTTTTGTGTATTTCAATGATGATTTGAAAGATGATAAATTTAGTTAGTCTAGACCTGTACATCTAGCCCCTGCCAACCCTCTACTTGACATGGGGCTAGTTAAGATTTGTGTAAGCATTACAGGTTACCACTTCTCAGGGACTGTATAATATAAGGAGCAAATGGTTCGRAAGCTGAACATGTTCCAAGGTTGTTTATGCAATAACAAAATGCAGGATTTGCTTTCAGAGGAACAGTGTTCAGCGAATACCTGGGTTTGTTTTTCCCTGCTCGCGCTGTAATTATCATCTTTAAGGGAAAAGGAGACAGATCTGGGATACGTTTTTATTGAAAACAGTGAGGTAAGTAAAAACAGAAGACTTCTG